AAATGAGAACTGCGAGCCCTCCAGGCACGAAACGACTTTATTTGATGTAATCAAACCGGGAATCAAAGCGTAGAGACCCTCGAAATTTAGATTTTGATGATGGAAGGAGATATGGAAGGTTCAATCTATAATAACGGGGCTCAAAAGAGTCTCCCTCTTTATCTTTTCTTAAATGATAAATGAGAGAATTGTGCTGTTGATGATGGGGGATTCTTGTAAAGCTATCGCTGGGCAATAGTTTAAGAGTAATTATTATAAATTATGTCTAGCTCCAGTTGACAAGATCAACCAAATCCTGCACTGTGATTGGCTACCCGAGTGGGCAAGATGGAGTTATTTTGCCCGCTCGGGACTACCCACTGTGTCCTGCACAAAAAGTTTCCCTGAAATCCATATAATAAATCCTTAATTAACCAAGCTTGCTCAGTCGAGATGGCTGGATATTTGCCTTGGTGTTTTTTTTGTGAGTTTATGGACCTCGACTCTCTCTCAGTCCATAAACATGCAAAAATAGACCTTGGTCAATATCCAGCCATCTTGACCTCATGTTTGTTCAATAACCCATATTTATTATGTCATATCCATTTACCATGGCAACATTATAGCATTCCAAAAAGAGCTTCCAAAACTGATTTTCTCAGTTTCTCAGTCTCACTACGATGCATTTAGGCCTTCTTAATATAAGATGAACTGATGACAATGGTCCGGTTGTAGATGTGTCTGAAACAGGACATAGTCAATTAGGCCTTTTAATAAAAGAAAAAAGAAAAAAAAATATTAGCTGACTTGGTCGAACCTTGAACCTTAACTCAAGACCTTAACAAAAAGTTTTTCTGGGTACAGACCTTCTGCCAGCAAATGACATACTTTAATCAGAATATTGAAACAATAAATAAGCTGAATGAACTAAAAGCGTAAACCAAAACCAGGCTCAGGATATGGAAGTTATGTGTGCACTGTGAATTAAGCTGGAAGACTTGCATGGGCTGTGGGAGAGATCACAAACCAATTATGTGTTAGATATTGTATGTGACAATAGATGGACAGGGACTAGTGTAATGGTTTACTTACATGTATTTCTAATTATTGAATACTAAACAAGTAACACATTTTTGATATAGATCCATGATAATTCAGCATGGGCTTACTAGAATCCAGTTATGCAAATATATATGTAATATTTACTGTGTTTATACTTTGACTTGTAGGCAGGCTGGACTAAACTCAATTCATCCCTCCGGGGAAACCTGAGAAAGTTGTCAAAGTCATTAGTGTTTGTCTCTGCCAAGAATCCTGGATTAAAATTAACATTTGACTCAGTGATGTCAGAGGCAAAAAATGCCACAATTGGTATGTTGTCCATGATTATTAAGTTAAAGATCATCTGAGGCTGATCAGCATCTTATACATCAACATGTATACTTCTCTTCACAGTATCAATATAATATTGTCAAGTTGTAATAATTAAATAAATCCAGTTTAAAAGAATAAGAGCAATAATGAACTACAGGAAAATTCTGTCAGTTGATATTACTCCGTTAAATTGGGTTAAAACAAATGCCAAAAAGATATTAAAAAATAGATTACTTTACTTGATTTCATGTCTTAAAAAAAGTTAAAAACATTCTTTGCAAAAAGAACCATTGGGTTAAACCATGTTGTTTTTCGGTTGCAAAGCTGTACAATACAATGCAACCTGCTTAGAAATTCCAATCCAAGAATGCCCCCCCCAAAAACCTCTTGAGAACCCCAGCAAAACAGATGACTATTAAAACCCTCAGAGTGAGCCATAAATGCACCAGCCAGACATATAATCAAGGCTCCTTACATTTCAGTATTACATTAATTGTACTGACCTACAAATTGTTGGCCAGGGGCAACATGGGAATTTTGACAGCATCTTGGGAGTAGCAATATTCCTACTAACTTCTTCATTTTAGTATTGTTTGTTTGGATGTGGCAAACCTGGGTGCATGGCACTTTGGCAAGGCACTCTTGTGAGAAGCATGATGCCTTATGGTTAGCATGTGTGAGTTGAGTGATCTGGTTTGAGCCTTGGCCAGGATCATTGTGTTATGTTCTTGGGCAGGGCAGTGTACTTTCTCTCCCTCCCCCCCCCNCCCCTACATGGTAAAGAAATCTGAGAAAATGCTGCAACTAACACATAGCAGGGGGAAGTAGCAGTGCTCCTAGTTGTGTAACGCTACAGGACTGCCAGGATAAGCCTGGCAGTCTGGGCCAGTTGGCCTGAGTGTGACTTTGTAAACTTTCATCTATAAGAAAAATATACTATAACTACAGTAAATTCAATCATCTTGTTTCAGTTTTGTTTGGTGAACAGCACCACCAGCCATCAATCCTCAAAGCTCAACTCTGTGTCCTTGAAAGAATGGTCACCCAAACCACCGAACAATCACAGGGTGCCCTTACTGTCACTGTCGTCATGGAGATGTTCAACCTCCAACAGCAACCCTTGCTTGACGCATATCAAGCTGACCAAATGTCATTAGCTGAACTGAAAAATAAATACAATGGGACTGAAGGTTTTGCATTAGAACATTATGGATATATTCTGGAAGTTTCCAAATTTCTCGGAGCCAAGCTTGTGGCAGGGTTTGTTCCAAAGCCATTTTGTCAGATGATTGTTCAGGAAGGGAAAAGTCGTGCTTTGGAGAAAATTGAAGAAACTGGAGGCCCACCCAAAGAATTTTATGTTGATGGCTCTGAGGATCACTACAGATACTTTCAAGGACTGATTAGTGGAAATCTAGACCAAGTTGTGGACAAGTATCGTCGGATATTTCCAGCGCAAGTACTAAGAGACAGTGCATTTGCATATACAGTCATGGATATTGTTCAGAAGTCAAACGGACGGACAAGAGTTCTCGGCATTTGTGGGTCAGGACATCTAGATTTCAAATTTGGTATTCCTGAGAGAATATCTCCAGAGGTGCCGACATATGTGTTTACATCTCGTGCTCAGGATGACCCTGTAGAACACGATGTTGCTGATTGCATTTATCAATATACATTTTAATCCTTAAATAATTGGCACGAGAAGTTCTTCTGGGCCGGGTTGTACATAAGCCGTTTAATGCTAACCCAGGATTAAAAGTTAACCAAAGTATTTATTTTTCTTGTTTAAAAATGTTTTTCACTGCCTATGTTTTGTGTAGAAAACAAACCATATAAACAGGAAACCTCTCCAAGAAGTTACAAATCTGAAACTAAAGTTCTCGCTAATCCTGGGTTAACTTAATCTAGCTTTGGACAACCTGGCCCTGGGGTCTGACCTCAGCGGGTCCAGTCTCCCAAAGTTTTGTGGCTTTGCTGACCAAGGACAGTAAGCATCAAATTTGATTTTGTTGTCAAATATCATAAATTATTAAGAACAATTTCTGCTTTATTTTTTTACTACTAGATCTCAAAGTAATGGCTTAAAATCAGCGAGAAAAAATGGAAAACCAACCAACCAACCAACCAAAAAAAAACAAAAACCAGACACTAAAACTTGAAATGCATGTATATGCATGTACATAGGGGTGCCTATCTTCTGTCCCCTTTTGAAGTGGAACTATTTGATGGCCTTCAATGACTAGGTGAACATCAAAAACACACTTCAATCCTTTTTGTAGAATTTGGCCTTTTACTTGATTTTAATTATGAAAGAAATATGAAAACTTGAACAATCATCCCAGGGATAAGAGAGTAATATTAAGGGGTATTAATATAAATTTTCATTATGTGAGGGTGTTTGTTGTTGGGATTTGCAAAGTGTTTGTACAGCCAAATACTGTAATGTTTGCATACGGTTAACCTGAGATAAAATTTGGTTCAGAATGAGTTACATGGGATAGTCCTTAAGACTACAAAAAGATGGATTGTACTGTAGCGTAAGCTGTGTTGGATAATTTTTTACAAAGTCGTGTGATACCTTCACCTTACGTGTTGCAACCAGCTGAAATGGCCTCAGGCTTCAATGAATCTTAAGCGCTAAATTTTACATATATCACAAATTGAGAAAAGAAAAAAATCAGTAATATATTTCACAAAGTCATGCTTTGTGTTTGCCAATGTACTCGAGAATCTTAAAAAGAGGATTTAATAAGTATATTTGAAACAACAATGATGTGATGTTTTGGAGTATTTGTCAATGTGTAAGATAAGTTTTTAAAAAAAATAAGGGTATTATTAAAAGAAATATTTTTTGCATTTGCCATCGCACTGGGATCGCAGGTTAATGATACATTAACATATTCGAATGGGGATTAATTGTGAATGAGAAATAAACAACAAAACCAATAAATGTGGATGTAGCGTACTTCATGACGATCAGTGATTGTTTTTTTTGTTTGTTTGTTTTTCATTAGATGTAATAGTTTTTCGTGCTTTTGCTCTCTGGCCAGAGAACATGAAAAGAAGCAGCAATGTTGTAGAAGATTGTTTCGCGAAATGTTGGAAATTGTGGAACATACTTTAAAATTGCCATGCGCAATTTTGCATACAGTGGACACGTATTGAAATTGATGTGAGCAGTGCACTCTTGGTCGATTTGATGTGCGCCATGTAGATAGGGGACTAACGTTGAAATGGTTGCACGCAATATGCAGATAGTGGACTCACGTTAAATTGTTGTGCCGTGGATAGTAGAGGGACTGGAGTCCCTTCTACTATTCATGGTTGTGCGGAATGTTGTAGGTGTACTCGCGCAAAAATTTTTGCGCGCCATGTTATTGATGGTGGACTCGCGTTGAAATTATTGTACGCAATGTTGCAGAAGTAGATGTCGCGGTTTTACCGTACTTCTGCAATTGCGCGCAGCAATTTAAGCGGTGGAAACACGGAGCGTTTCAGACGTGTGCAACACAGTACGTGTGCCATGCTCGACCCTGTCCGCCATGCTGTCCGCGTCTTCACTTTCAGTTTTCTGTCCTTTTCCTGTATGTACCATCGAGCTCGTAAACCACTTCACTGAGTCTTTTTGCTACACCGGCATTTTTTGTTGAATGATGAACCATGAATTTAAAGCCAAAAAGACTTTCGCAAATTACAACTTGAGCGTTTTATTTTTTTCCAGGTGCCCACAGTCTGCTATCTCCGGTATCAGCATCTTTGAATGCAAGATGAAGTGTCAAAACAGGCTATTACTCATTACATCGCTTTACTAGTTCAACTCACAGATCCGTTCAACCGCACTATACCTCACTTATCCAAATTTACAATTTTCATCTCAGGGTGCGTAGGCCGTTTGCAAAGTTGCCTGATTTTTTTCAATGACTCGGACTGAACAAAGCACACGCGTAAAAACTTACAGGGAGACATGCGTGGACGGGCGCGCGCTCGCGTTTCCCTTCAATTCGATGATCGATCTCCCATGATCATTTGAAGAAAGAGTCAGATGCGTTATAATTCTGGTCTGAATTTTCCACTGATGTGACCGGGAACTGATTGAGTTATATAGCTGAAATTTGATTGCTCTTATACTTGCAGTTTTGTGGCCGTTTTTCCGTTCTTCATTCAGTGTATGTTGCAATGTAGTGCATTCTGACTGCGCATAATTTCACGGCTGCGCGCATTAAGAATATGTCCGCGTTTTCCTTGTAACTGCTTAAGCCTGCCAAAGAGACCTTTTTAGTCAGAATTCTAACTGACGAAGGTCATGGAAGTGATCAAAACGTCTAGTAACAAATATTTTTAATCAACGTCAACTCGGGTTTCATACAAGTTTTTACCCACAATGTCGAAACAACCAAAGCATTTTGCAGCTTTTCACTGTTTCGGATTTCTTTGACTTTTTATAAATACTAACTGAAACTTTGAACTTTACTTTATATGGCTCAGAATTTTCTTTTTTCGTGTATATTCCGGAGCTCGAGTTTTTTTCTTATCTATGTCCTCCCCATCCCTCCCTACCATAACAAAATAATGGACCATCCCTTGTGGCAAACTGAACAAAAGGCAATGAAACCTCGCCTTAAAAAGTTGCACGTGCTGAATTTGTAATTTTGTCGAAGGCGGTAATTTGCATTCTGTTTGTTCCTCGTGGTGAACTATCTTCTTCGCCGAGCGAGAGGAAAGTTTGTTTCGGCGTTCACTTGGAAACCTCTACTCGTTGCAATCTTGTCCTTATCTTGTACTGCGCGAGGAAAGTAAAGAATGTTTTACAAGCATGAAAGAGTGAAGGGGTTCATTGAACTTAGCTTTTGGAACTGATTTGAATGAACAAAAGGTAAGAACAGTACAAATGTTTACAAGAAAATTTGAACCTAAAGTCAGTAAAAAGTTGCTTTGAAAGCAGTGTTGACTTTAGTAGTAATGTTCTCCAAACTTCTTCCAGAGCTAAGCAGGCTGAACGACTTACAGTCACAACTTTCAATGAAGACGTTTCGCAAGTTCTACTTGCTTTGAACGTGTTTCATGACGGACACAATTTATTGCTCAGTTTAACTTTGGCAGAATGCTGCCAAACATATATGAGCTCCATTATTTAATGATCATTTTGACAACATCGTTTTGCTTTTGTGGATGAAGGAAACACCGTGGATCCAAGTGAAAGTCAAATCGGAGGACTGAATACAGTGCACACCCCAAGGAACGAAGGCAGAGCTTCACAAACCAGAAGGCAATTTTTTTATAAAATGGTGAGTGGTATTCAGTACACGCTCGCTCGCACCCTTGCTTTCTGGGCCTCTCAACTTCAAAGATTCTCATGAAAATGTTTAACGCGACAGATGACAAGCGAGATTTCATGTATTTCTCCTAAGTATGTTACAAAAATTAACAACAAGCTCAACTACGTTCGGAATTTTCTGGGGCGTGGTAGTTTTACTGTGATGAACAGACAAGAGGAAAGACAATCGATCATGTAGTAGAGGGCAATGGAAAATTAATTTGAATTCACTGGATGAAGCAAATTTCAGCAGAGAAAATTCTAAATTTTGCCTTTTGTATTTTGAATCCGTACTTTAATTTGGTGATTCCATCTTCACAAACGTTATTTCATCACTTGCAACTTATTTACGAATGTTAATTAATGAAGAAATTTGCAATTCCCCAGGGATTATATGACATTCAGATTATTTTTGCATATTTTCAAGGTAACTT